AAAAAGACAGAAAAAAAGAAACTTTGTAAATGGGTGAGTATCTAGTGGTGAATGTGGGCCAGCTGCCGAAGCCCGAATCAGTCGGGCCTAGTCAGCCGGTCCCTGAGGCGTTGGATCGTGGGCCGACCGGTAAGAAGCCCGAAATGGTAGGGCCCTCATCATCGACAAGAGATGATAAGGTTGTGGTGGATGTGGATGATGAGGATGCCGATGAGCACACGAGTCTGTTAAGTATGGGCGAATGCCGAATTTGCCAGGAAGAGGATTTTGTCCACAATTTGGAGAGCCCCTGTGCTTGCAGTGGGAGTCTTAAGGTAAAAATGAAAGTTGGTTTATAATTTATTTATTATTGCATTTTTTAGTTGAGGTAGTGTTGTATGAGAATCTTGTTGATGTATAATGGTATTGTTGTTGATAGGGGTTTTATTATGAGGAGTAGATTGAAAAAGCTGAGTTTTGTTTTTGGTGGTGTTGGAATATGGATTTTTGTTCTGTAAGATTTATGATTTTTATGTATAAATTATGAGATTAGAGCTTGGACGTGCATTTTGTGATTTCGAATTTAGATTCGCGAGCCCCTAAGGTTTGTTTCTTAAGAATCGATTGAAGTATTTATTCAAAAAAGAAAAAAAGAAAAAAAAAATTGGACCTAAGAAGAAAGGCTGCAAAATTTCAGTGCTCTGTTGGATAAATGAACCTCCGAGTACTTCAGAATTTTTTGCCGGAATTTACTTAATTTTCATGAGCTTTTAGATTTTTTATGAGGTTGCTTGTTTTTTTCTTTTCTTAACCTTGATTTGATATTCAGGTTTGGTTTTTTCTGTGGGTGTTGCTGTAGTGTAGTTTCTTCATCTATTGGTTAAAGCTTTATTTGATTAGTCCAAGTTCAAACTATTTTTTACCAAATTAAATTTGTTTGCAGTATGCTCACAGAAAATGTGTTCAGTATTGGTGCAACGAGAAGGGAGACATTACCTGTGAGATCTGCCATCAGGTTAATCACTCACTTGCTTCTCATACTCTTTGTCCGTTTTTCAAATTTTTCGAACTTAAGATTAAAAGTGCATGATCATGAAAATATATAAACACACGCGATCTTGACTTTGAATTTTAGATAATTTAGAGTGGGATGGTATTTTTTCTGATAGAAACAG